AGGAATATAGAGACATTCCTTCAATGTGTATGCTTTAGCTGTTGATAAAGACAGGGAGAGAGCGCGAGCGCCCCAACAAAAGCCTCCCCGATTCAACAACCCAATTCACACGCTCAGAAATTGCAGCTGGTGTAAGCTTAGAATAACCGTGTGCGAGAACCACACATCGTTGAGAGAGATAAAGAGCGAAATACTTGCAAACACCGTTCGATCAATAATAAGTGAATCATATAGATACTGTTCGGCATGCCCGTAGATATATGTGGCCCTCTGCTGTTGTTTTTTTTCCCTCTGCTTCTTTCATTTAAGATCACTGCTTTTTCTCAACCAGAGTACATCGTACATCGTGTGGTTTTTCTAATTCTGCGCGCCATTGAACTCCTTCATTTGTGCAAAACACATAGTTATTTTGTGCAATGTGTGTGAACAATGAACGAAATTCACCAACAACCAAATTTGGTCATTGTTTATCATCAATTGGCCGATATTTTAATTAATCAATACGTAGCAATATTGTGCCGATTATGCATTGTATGCTTTTGCACATATATTCGTGCCGCTGCTGTCAAGGTAGCGTGTGCTTTTGCATAGTTGCAGTAGTTGAATACCCAATGTGCCAATGTACCAATGGACCGCACAGTTTAATGCAATAGTGTTGTATTTGTGAGCACAGGCAGGAAATTTTTTTGATACAGAAGCAGAATGAAAGGTACTCAAGATCTTTGATAGCAAAACGAACGCATAGCTTCTAATTAGCTTCATTCCGCCGCCAAAAAGAAGCAATAATAAAGGGAAAATGATAATATCGAATCGCACAAAATCGATTTGCTGTTGTGTGCACTCAGAATGGAAACAGGCGTGAGCGCCACACCGCTCGTGCGCTCATTTGAATATGATCAGATGCAGCAGCCAAGCCATTCAATAAAGAAAAATTCAAGAGCTTTCGATCGATATCACTTTGTCTAGCTAGATGATGGGAATAAAACAGGGTCAGCGTTTTAACGAAATCCCGTTCGAATCTAAAGCTCACAAGGTATCATTGCTTGCATTTATGGTCTACGGTTCAATGTTGTTGTTGAGTATATGTGTTTTTTACTTCTCGTTTTTGTTCCTCTTTTCACATTTGATTTTCCATTTTATTGCCTCACTTCAATCAAAACATCCATGTAAAAGAAGAGAGAGAGGGTGGCGTTAAATTCACATCGCGATGCTTACGAATAGGTTTTTGATTACAGAAAATAAACATTCGAACTTTTTTTTTCCTGGTTCCGTGTGTACGACTATACTGCGGACGAGGATGTGCCGTTTCGGGGCACACGAGACAAACAAACAATGGAGAGCCGAAAAGAAAAACGAGGAAAATATTTGTTTGAAATGCATTTTGCCATATACCAGCGGCTCTAGTTCCATGTACAAATACCCCAAATGCAGCTTCCTTGACCGCATCCACACAACAAATTGTTGCTATACTCGATCTAACGACGCTCTCGTGTTTATTTTCAATATCATTTAGCATTTGCAGCAAAACTCATGTGTTATCCATGCGATTCATCATTATAACACCCAACGCCTGCACATTTTTCCAGTTGAACATTCAAATTTTTTTCCATTCGGTGGACTCATTCCCTCTCTCTTTCTCTCTCTGTCTCTCACGCTGTGTGTGTGTGTCTCTCTTGCTCCGCATATACACACTGGTGATGGTGTTTCGCACCAACATACAGTAAGCCCAAGTGAGAACGAGGGAGAGCGGCCAAGAGGCGGAAAATTAACCATTTGGAATTCACAATTGATTATGTACTGGGCTTGACTTTCGGACCAAATGCGATTCACTGAATTGATGCGATTAGGTGGTGAAAAATGCAACTTTGTTGTGTAGGTTATCCATTCCTCTTCACCAGCGGCACTGCTGCTGCCATTTCGTCTGCTAAATATAAATTGGGAATAAATCACATTGAAATGTGTGTGTGTGTGTGTGTGTGTGTGTGTTTCTGTGTGAGAGAGAGTGTGTTTGTGTAAGAATGGGTTAAAATTTCAATTCGAAAATTTATTCGCCAGTTGAGATTCCGTTTGGCCGTGGATAAATTGTAATTAAAGCTTGGAGTATGGGTGCAGACACACAATTAGAGAGTAAGAGTTCGAGTAAAAGAATAGTCAGAAAAAAGAATGTACGCCCGCATTTCAATTTTGTGTGCATGAAATCGATACTTGGTCATCATTTGTTTGTTCGTTTGTGCATATTGAGAGCGCGGCGCGCACGATGTTTATCGATAATTCATATTTATTGGTCTCATTAGTTGAAATGTGTAGTGTGTTGCGATAACATTGTTTCAAAGTAACTGAGCCTGCACAAATGACAGCATCGAATAGCGCGCGCGCGCGCGCACGATTTTGATTGTCGAAAAGTCGACGATCTGTTTGAATTTCGATCATTTAAAATAGCGATTTTTTCTACTCCGAAAAACAAATGAGTATGTGTGGTTTTTTATTTATTTGCTCCACAGTCGAATGCGCTACATGACATAATGTCAAATGCTGGGCAATACATCGACGCCTTTCACGCGCACATCTCTCTCTCTTTCTATCACACAAAACATTCAAAGAACATCTCTCGGTTGACGTGCGATTGTTGTTGTTTTTTCCTTGAAACTTTGCACAACAATTCATGGGAAAAATATTTTTTGCTACAAGTTGAAAGAGCGAATGAGAGATGAAAAAAAGCGCGCCCGTTAAATTAAAAAAAAAAGAGCCAACGAAATATTAAAAAAAAGTGTGTATGGAGGAAAACATACACGGCAGAATCGAAGATGAAATATAGAATGAAGGAAAAAAAACACGACGCTGTACGATGGAAGCCAAGACACAAAAATGTTTGCGCATATTACTAGGCGAGCGAGAGAGAAGGCTGTTTGCATTGGTATATTAAAATTTAAATGAACCAAACCTATTGTTCATCAATTTTTTCCAATTATTCGTGAACACTTTGAATATTTCAAACTATTCACACATCACATATCATAAATGGGTGTTGGACGAACGAGACGCAAACGCTGCTTTACGCTTCCCGAAAAAAAAATCCAACCGAACGAACACACGATCATTCGAGTGTCGATATTCAGTCTTTTTCTCTTTCGCTCGCTTCAAAACACACTGAAAATGTTATTATTTCACGGAGCAAACAGACATATGTATAAGTGGCAAATTTTATTTTAGCATATTGGGCGACACTTTTTTTTCGGGTTATTGCCTCTCTTCTCGATCTCTCTCGTTCACTCTCAATACGAATCCATCTTCTATTCGTCATAATAATCGACTATTATATTTTTGTATTATTTTTTCTTGTTGTTGCTCTGCGTTGTCTTTCGATTTTTGATGTATTTTGAATGAGTATCGAGAGCGTTGATTGGAACAAAAGGCCACATTCATTTCGTCATACACGAAATAAAGAAGCAACCAAAATATAACAAAAAACACACATCGTAATGGATTGAAAATAACTATTAATGTTTATATGCTTCTAATTCATCTCAATCATTTCCTTGTTGATCGATAGCATCAAAACATTATTCGTACGCGACACACACGCACACACACACACACACACACACACACACACACACTGTGATTCGAGATGTTTCGCTCGCTTTCTCTCTCTCGATCTATGGCTTCTCTCACTTCCTTTTCTCATTGACGCGTGTGATGCATTTGATTGAGAAAAATTGAATGTCACCAATGGACATCGAAAGGGCATTATTTTGTTTCGGTCACATTCTCTGATATATGTCGTACGCAAATATATATTTTCGGAATAAATGGGCTTCGGAATCGTCGGCAAGAGAGAGAGAGAGAGAGAGAGAGAGAGCTTCGAAGGAAGATGTGTCGCTTCACTTCCTTTCATCAATTCATACATGAAAGACGAACCGAACATACGTCAAAAGCGTGTGTGGCTGTCTATTTTTGTGTGTGAAACACGACTGTTACGCACGCGGAATATGAATAACACGTATATATATATACACTACAATTTCACTTATAAAATGAAATTTCATGCGAAAGTAAGCCAGCTTACAAAAGTGAGCTAGACAAAAAAGCACAAAAATAATGACAACTGAGGATGATATGACATCCACTGAACGAACATGAGATGTATCTTTCCTGACGACAAAAATATTCAAATGATTAAACGCAACTTCACAATATTTTGACTATGAACCGTACACACCGACACCCATTCATTTGTTGTTGTTGTTATTCGTGTATTTGTTGCACTCTTTTTCTGTTCACCCGATTCCAAACGCTTTGTCAAAGCAATTTCTTATTTGACAGAGCAAAACAAAAAACCACAACGACAATTAAACAGCAGCAGTAGCGAGAAAAACATCAACAATAACTGTGACAGCATATTCGATGATGTAGTCAATTCATGACAGTAGTTGTTTGTGGGCACAGCAATTGCTGACCAACCTTCTCGCTCTCTCTCTTTCTTGTTTTGAAAATTGTCTCTCCATTCCAATAGACTCAATCATTGTTTTGGATGGAATAATAATAATCACTGGCATGACAATCAACCCGCTTGATCCGATTTTGATTGAAATTGATCCGGTTTTCCGACGAGAACAATCGATATTTCTGTACATTTCTCAAGCATACTACGAGCCCTTTTAAACTACATCTCTTTGAAAAGAAAAACCGTGGATTTTTTTTTTCTTTCTACTTGGGCTTTGCCCTTTTCACAGAAAAACAATACTCCAAAAGGTGTTGTGTCAACAGCATTTCGATAACGAGGATAAATTCACGGAACTTGACTCAATTCTTGCACAAACAGAGAGAGCGAGAGAGAGACACAACCACTTATTCAAGTGTTTGTTTGTATGTTAACACTAGTAAATAACAAGATAAAATGAGAGAAATGTATTCGAAATACACTTAAAACGAACGAACACACGACCGGCGTAGAAAAAGAACGAAAGAAAGAGAGAAAGAGAGAGAGAGAGAGAGAGAGAGAGAGAGAGAGAGACTCAAGCGAATGCATACACTCACCGAATGAATGAAAGAGAATGCGCTGAGGTGAAAATGTAAACCAATCTAATATCTCAACTATGTTTGTACACATATTACAGTTAGAGGCTAGAGGACATTTCGACACATTTTACGATTTTTTTTTCTACAGTGCATAGCATCATCATTCGTGCACACGTAAACGCAACTCAATTGAGTGAAAAACGCACAACACAAATCGATCTCTGTCGCGCGCGCAGTTTGCTTTCGACAATTTTTTTTTGCTCAACTTCAACATTTGTTTCGGTCTCATCTTTCGATAAATTTCCATTCACCGCAATTTTTTCACTATAGCTTCGCGCTGATTCTTCGCAAAAGAGTTTATTTTTATAGTTTTGTTCAAAAAAAAAAAATCTCTTCCCATAGAAAAAAAGTAAATTTTCATTCGGAAAAAATTTGTTGTAACGAATACATTTAGTATTATCATAGGTACAGTTGAATCATTGAATTCATGATAACGTGTAAATACGTGAAAAATGATTCACGATTAAGTGAAAAGGTCGCTTCGAATCGAACGGAAAGCAACAATTTTTTTTGCACTAATGTGAACCACGTATCGTATCCTGACACATTGTAAAATAAAGTAAATGAAAATAAGTGTCGTTTTCTGAAATGACTTGATTAAAACTGTAAAATTGACATTGACACCTACACCAAATGTTTCTGTTCGCCGTTGCTTCGATGACTTTCGCATTCAATGGAGCCGTTTTTTTTGTGTGTGTGTTATATTCTAAGCGAGTCAAACGTATTCATTTCTCATGAGTAATTTTTTTTTTTACATTTTAATTTCAAAAATTAATTGGAATTTTTTTCTCTCTTGTAGAACCCGTGGATAAGCAATTGTAATCAAAAGGAAGAAAGGAAAAAAAAAACGGGAGAAAAACGTAAAATAAAATTGACGAAATTTGAAAGCCGCATATGGGATTGGGTTGACAGCATCTATTCAAGCATCGAAATTATGAATTACTTGGGCATTTGAATCAGCTTAATCGCCTGTGTGTACCATACAGTTGTAACCGAAAAAAAAAACACATAATAACGGAGCAAAGAATACGGACAGAAGCGGTTGGAGAATCGGCGAATTGTTGCGTTTTCATTGAATAATTAACGCATACGCACATCTACTGTTTGTCGAAGACAGACACACACACATACACACACACACAAAGCATACACACATTCGCGAGCGCAACCAGAGAGTAATATTAGACAGCAGCAACGGCGAATAGAAAAAAAGAGAAGGCACATAGAACACACACGGAACAAACAGAGAACCATTACATAAGAAACAATGAGACAAGACTAAGCAAAGCGTGGTCATCGAAGATCAGTTAAGCAGCATATCAACAGAAAAGATCGATCGATCGACGACGACGAAGGCGGTAAGAGAAGCAAAACTGGAATCTCGTGTGTGTGAGATAGAGAAACAGCAACAAACGATCAACGAGATCAAGTTGAAACAAAGAAAAAACAGTGAGACAAAAAAAGGGAAAAAGTGATCGAGAGGGAAAGAAAAGCCCTTTTAATGAAACGCGTTTCGTTCACTAAACACAAAATCACTAAAGTGCTAACAAAAGCCCAAATGGAATTCAACAACAACAAGAAAATAAAACAAAACAATAACTAATGAATGTACAAATCGACTTAAGAAAACAACCAATTTCGACAATTTCGAACAGGGGAGCCAACAAATATCGACGTTGAACAACATACATACACAAAAGAAAACAAGAACAAGACGAAAAAGAAAGAAAAAAATAGAGTTAAAAACTAGCGAAAAACGATAGCTCAAATTACACAGCGTTTTACACTTGGCGTCATCATAAAACAGTAAAATAAGTCAAATAACTTTGGATCTTCCTGTTCAGTTTGTGTGTTTGCGGTTGGTGCGTATGCGAAATTTTCGTACGCACGTGCGTTTGTGTATTTACATATATCAATTGTTTCGGACAAAAAGATAGAGCCGATCGAACGATCGCCAACGTGAAAACTAACCACGCGCGGCGTATTTGAATCATAGTCTCTTAACATTTTTTCCCGCTGCTGGAGTGAACGTCATTTATTATCATTTGACTGGAAAGACGAAAGCGGAAAAAAACTCTCATTTATTCCTTCACAAGTGAATTGGCCTCGAACGATCACCGTCGCATTGGTTCGTTCGAAGCGCATCTGGCGTGTGAGTGTCACGACGACGACGACGACGACGACGACAACGACAACGACGGCGAGCTAGAGAGTGTGAGAGACAGAGAAGAGCGAACCGTGTGTGAGTGTGTGAGAGAGCGACGACGCAGACAAACGGCCAACACATCGATTCACACAAGGGTTTGGTTCGCAAAAAACCTACATTAGGCTGGCTCGTAACGGTGAAACAAGGGGGACCGAGTCTCCCGACACATCACCAGAAAACGCGGCCACCTGTTGGTGGACACCATTTGTTGCTATGGGTTGCTTTGGTTCAGCCGGATCAAAGCAAACCGAAACCAATAGTAGTACAGAAGATACAAAAAGTCAAAAACGTCGTAGCGATGCAATCACAAAACAATTACAGAAAGACAAACAAGTGTATCGAGCCACACATCGTCTATTGCTGCTCGGCGCCGGTGAATCGGGCAAATCGACCATCGTCAAGCAAATGCGAATATTGCACGTCAACGGTTTTTCGGACACAGAGCGAAAGCAAAAAATAGAAGATATTAAAAAGAATATTCGTGATGCCATTTTGGTAAGGGGGAGGAATGATTCATTTCCGGTTTTATGATATTTGTAGCTAGGATTTAAAACTATAACGCAATTTGCTTTTCTTTTTATCCGGCAGACAATTACCGGTGCTATGAGCACACTCAATCCACCTATAGTTCTTGAAAAACCAGAAAATCAAGTGAGAGTCGATTACATTCAGGATTATGCGTCAGGTAAACACATAATTTGCAATTCAATTCAATTCAATGCTATCATTTCCCCAGCCATTCTCATTCCCATTATGTGTCAAAGAGATCTAATCGCATTGTTTCGCTTTTGTTTCCATGTCAACAACAATAACAACAACAGGGCCTGACTTCAACTATCCACCAGAATTTTATGAGCACACAGAAGAACTGTGGAAAGATCGTGGCGTTCAACAAACGTTCGAACGATCAAACGAGTATCAATTAATTGACTGTGCAAAATAGTAAGTTACAGACAGATGATTTCTGTCTATCTATCGATCTGTCCATCCCTCGCTCTATCTCGCTCTCACTCGAGAATCAATACTTACGACATTGTTTATCTTCACCTTTGTCAACAGCTTCTTAGATCGTGTCAGTGTCGTGAAAAAGCCAAATTACACTCCTTCCGAGCAAGACATCTTACGATGTCGTGTTTTAACATCAGGAATATTCGAAACTAGATTTCAAGTGGATAAAGTTAATTTTCAGTAAGTATCAATGGATGGGCCAACATATAAATACATTCAGATTTTGGTTCATATGAAATTTACAAAACGACTGACGTTCCTTCCTTGCAGTATGTTTGACGTCGGCGGCCAGCGTGATGAACGTCGCAAGTGGATTCAGTGTTTCAACGATGTCACAGCAATTATATTCGTAACTGCCTGCTCTAGCTATAACATGGTTCTTCGTGAAGATCCAACACAAAATCGACTCCGAGAGTCACTTGATTTATTTAAAAGCATTTGGAATAATAGGTAATTGTATTAGTTCAATAATCAACGATTCAGAAAATCCTTTTTCTGCACAATCTGTGCGTCGGGTTTGCGACCGGAAGAATTAACAAAATTCTTATCAATTAGCGTCAAATGTTTAAATCCTTGAAGAAAAAATCAGTGTTTTTAATCCAAATTAATTCATTTGCAGATGGTTACGTACAATATCGGTCATTCTTTTCCTGAACAAACAGGATTTATTAGCCGAAAAAATAAAAGCAGCTAAAAGCAAATTATCAGATTATTTTGCTGAATTTAATAGATATCAAACACCTGGTAAGTCACATGCATTGTTGAAATATTTTCATCCTTGTGAAGCGGATCGAATTTTAATTTGAATAATTGAAATTTGAAGTACACAAATAAGATTACTTTATTTAGTATTTAAAGTTTTTAAAATTCAATTAACATTTCCCATAAAAAATGTTATTAAATGAATAGATAGCCTAAATAAAATTAAATAAGAATTTCCATTTTTTGAGAATGAAAATGATTAAAATTGCTATAAAAAGGTGATGATGACAGCGAAAAACCGCATAAAACTAACCAAAAAAACTTTCTTATTTTAGGTGATGCTCTAATTGAGCCAGGCGAAGATCCAGAAGTAATACGCGCAAAATATTTCATTCGAGATGAATTTCTGGTAAGTTGTTAATTTTACGTTGATTTTAATTAGGTAATGTGAATATTTTATTGACATCGTCCCCGGAATTAATGTTGAAATTTTTTTTCATAATTTTTTTCGTTTTGAAATGTATTTAATACCAATCATTATTATCTAATTATGCAACTCAATGTTCAAAATTACACGATTTATAGTTGATATTGTTTCAAAACTAAAAAACAATTTTTGCCATTGCAGCGTATATCGACAGCCAGTGGAGATGGCAAGCATTACTGTTATCCACACTTTACATGTGCCGTTGATACGGAAAATATAAAAAGGGTGTTCAATGATTGTCGAGATATTATTCAAAGAATGCATCTTCGTCAATATGAACTTTTATAGGTAATTAAATGGCATTGACTCACGAAGAAACAAACAAACGGTCACCAAATAATTTTTGTCTTGATTTTTAATCATTTCATTTCTTTTCGCCTCCGTTTCAGATAGAAGTACATCAAGTTCATTTTAAAGATATCGTCATTAAACTAAACTTAACTAACAAAAATAAAATCGTAATTAATTTATAAATAAATGAATAAAAAAAAGAAGAAAATATATAAATAAAAATATAATTATCATTGAATGTTATTGAGTGAAAAATTGCTATTGAGCATTTGCTCTAGGACGTTCTATGAGCGAGTTGCCAAAATGAATTCGCACTATAGAGCCACACACACGCACACACACGCACACACACACACACACACGTTGAAAACGAAGCAAGAAACAATTTAGAAGAGTCGCAATTGACCATTTTCAAAATTGATGATCGTGTGATCGAAGCAAAAGAAGCGAAGCGATGCGAAAATCCCGATGTCATATTGATTGGCTTGGGATTCCGTTGTGTGCTTGGCATATTAGAGACATTCGTCCAATTTGGCTCGTGGATAGTTTCGATAGCAATCGCTCAACGACAAATTTTCATTGTAAAGTAATATTTAATTGTAATTATTACTGAAAATAGAAATAAATACACAAAAAAGATATATTTAAAGAAATGTAAGAGAAAAAAAATTATTAAAAAAAAAAAAACAAATGCAGGGTGTATCAAAACAAAAGAGAAATAACATATACAACCACTTCAAAAAAAAAAAGAGTTGCAAATCAATAAAACAAACAACCAACAAAATATAACACAAGAGAAAGAAAGCAAGCAAAAAATGGAGTTAGAAAAAATCTAATAAAAAGCAAATGTGTCAATCAAAGGAATCAAACCAATTAAGAGATTTTCATCGACAAATGCTGTAGTAAAAGAAAAAAAAAACCAACAAAACCAACCAAAAAGAATACAAACACTGAAATGCATGCAATAAAAAAGCAAAAAAGCAACCGAAAATCAGTTTCTTCATCAGTTTTCATTTTATCGATCCCGGCCACTTACATACACATACATACACATTGAAATAACACAAACGGATCGATCAAGTGTAAAACAAGCCGCCGATAATCAGTCTTCATCTTCATTTCTTGGCCTTCCATGCGCACAGTCAGTGTTGTACAAAGATAAAATTTAGATAGATAAGATGAAGATAGATAAGATAAGATGATATCTTTATCTTTACTGATTTAGGTCACTCAGATTGGTCATCTATCTTGATATCTTATCTGAATACTTCTTTCGTTATCTATCTCGAATTTTTTAGATAATTTAGAAGATAATTCGATTTTCTCATAGAAAAATATCAAAGATAACTAAAAAATAATTGGAAAAAAATATCTTATCTTTTATTGGATAGATAAGATAATATCTCATCTTCATCTAAATTATTTTTATGATTTTTCACAAATATCTTATCTTTATCCAAATAAATTTCAAGTCCTTTTGTACAACACTGCGCACAGTGCACAACAACAGTTGCATTCAAATCATTTTTTTTTTTTTAAAAGAAACAAACACAAACCGTGAATTTAATGAGAATGTGGAAATAAAACCAACTTATTTTATTCAGTTTAGTTCTTTTTTTAAATTATTATTATTATTTCTTAACATGTTGTTTGAAAAGTGCCCGATTGATTGATAAACAGATAGAGAAAATAAAAAACGAAAAACGAAGAAGACGAAGAAATTCCATTTGTGTTACCTCCAAGATTCTGTTTCATTCGAAAATATACTCGAAATCCGAGTGAACCAATAAGAATGTAGCAAAATCTTGCACCAATTTTTAGTTTTTCCGTTGTGTTATAGAGAAGATAAACAGAGAAGGAGAGAGAGAGAGAGAGAGAGAGAGAGAGAGAGAGAGAGAGAGCGTGCATTATTAAACACATGTGCAACTAATAACAGCAATTACGACAGAGTTATACAAAAAAAAGAAGAGTTATTATTTTTAAAATAAAACCAAACTAAAAAAAAATGAACGAATAAAAAGAAAATCCGAGAAAAGTCGTGTTTGTGGAATTGAAACAGGAAGGAGAAAGAAACCAGCATAAAAATCACTTAAAATTAACAAAACAAATAATGAACACCTCACCGGTATTCATTCAGTGACCGATACATTTAATATATTTAAGTCGAAAACTGGCAAAAAATTGATACTATATATATATGTTAGGGAAAAAAAAATTACATAGTAATTCACAAATAAGCGAAACATGGGCCCGTTTATCGCATATTTTGAGCTTTTTATTTTTTTATTTTTTAACGAGAACATTTTTTGTTTGTTTAAATTCTCAACCAATTCGAAATGTGAATACAGAGGCAATTGTTCCTTGGACACGACGACCTCTATTTGTTCGTTGTTCGAAATAAGCACGTTTCATGGCTTCAAACCAAAATCCGACCAAACACATCTCATGTAATAATTTATTTTTATGGTCAAAAAAAAAATAAAAACAAAACAAAAACTAAAATCAAGTGAAGAAGAAAAAAAAGTTCTTTAAATTGTGCGATGATGTGGCCGGAGTTGTTCGTTTTGTTTGTGAAATAAAACAAGAGAAACTCCAAAATAAACCACACGACAAACAAAAAACAACCACAACAACAAAAAAAAAACAACCAGATAAAAGCCCAAAATACAGCCCGTTGAAATCAACGGGAGATACGCAATATATAATTACCAATAAACCCGCCGCTTATTATTCAAGACATTTAAAGTCCTAATTTTAATACAAGTGAATCGAAGTTGCTAAGTTTTCTTTGAATCGGCGAAGGCTGATCCAGTAATTGGCTGAGCAAATTTTGGTTTATTTTTATGTTTTGTTTATATTTCGTTGTTGTTGCTGCTGTAGAGAATGTTCCAATTAAATTTGAAACTAAAACAGCGCTCCATATGCCTTGAATGTGTTGCTTTTTGTTTTAAACACAAACCGGCACAGAGACAGTGACATTAAAAGGGAGATACATTCTAGTCCATTGTAAGAACCATTCGAGAAAGAAAAAAAAAAACGAAATTTGTTGCAAAAAGATGAAACTGAGAATTACCATTGGCATTTCGAAGAGGAAGAAGAAAAAAAACACACACACATCAATGTGATACACGCGATTTGGAGGTGTTGCTCGAAAGCTTTCTTCGTTCAATGCATAATGTACACCTCTTAGCGGCCAACCAAATTGAATTGTTTATTTTCTTTTTCGTTTCATTCTTTTGAATTTTTTCATTGTATTTTAGATCACACAACGCTTTACCACATTCTTCTTATTCTTATTCGGCTATCGATATTTCCATGGCGCACAACATACAAATTTTTATTATGCACAATCGCATTTTTTTTTTTTTGTATCATGATAAACAAAATTCATGCAGAGATTCTGTTGATATAGCCACACACAGCTCAATGAGAGAGCCAGCCGAGAAATTGTTGGTGCACATTACATAAGAATTTCATTTCAATCACCTATCGCCACGATCCATGATGCAATTTTCTGCCTTTTTTGTTTCACATAATTTCATTCAAAAAAAAAAAAATAAACCATAGAGGAACCATGCGCACACAAATTGAACAACACACAAATCACATTTCAACTCATTGACATTTAGGGATGGACCACACAACAGTTAAGCTAAAAATCGCTTTCATTTTCAATTGTTTTGCAATGGAGAATTGAATTTATTCAAATCGGTTCTATTTATAAAACAGAAAAATTTTGAGTTTTGCCATCAGGAGCAACCAGTAGAATGTGACACCTTTACCGTGTGGAATGACAGCTTTTTTATCAATGAAATTGATTAGGAGATTTTTGCTAATTTTCAATATCGACAAAGTCATCTGAATGTTTAATCAGCCTGTCATTTTGTTTGAAAACAACAACAAAACCATGAAATTAAACTCAAGTAGAGAATAGAATGAATAAGAATGCACTGTGGGCGATCCAATTTAGAATTCAATTTTTAGAATTTTTATAAAATTTCTGTTGAAATGTTGATCTTTTTTGTTTTTTTTTTTTTTTTTTCATTTCGATGAAGTGAGAGTCGATCAGTCATAATGATGCACTGATGTGATGGTGCGCGTATATATTGTTATCAGATTGCTGTGAAAAAACATAAAAATCGTGTCAATAGTTGAATCATTCAATAAAAAGAGAAAAAAAAAATCCGCATAATATATTTCTCATTAAAACATCAATTTCCATTCCATGTGGCCATTCCATTTGAGCCAATCTGTTTTGCTTGAACAACTGCAATGAAATCTCTCAATGTTTGGTGGTTTGCATGAAACGAGCTAAACCAATGTGCAGCTCAGAGTCTATGAGAATTCATAATATGAATATTCTAAATATGAAATATGCATTCTCCCCCATTTTCTCTGTTCAAAATTGCACGCAAACACATCAAACGAACACTCAAACTCACACAAACACATTGAACGAACCGAGAGTAATTGAGGAACCTTCAACAAAAGTGAAGAATCAAATGAATTGTGAACAAAAATATACATAAAACGCTGCTGAGCGCTCAAATGTATCACACTTCACAGCCATTTAAACGGAAATTAGACGATCTATTAACGCTGATTATTATTGAATGCGAGACAGAGACGATGCGAACGAGAGAAATACACACAAACACCCAAAACACCCATTCAGCTAAATGGCAATTGAAATCGGACTGAACATTTTTACAGCCACAAAACACACTAGCTCTTGTTTCTTTTTCGGGCTTTTTTTCGGTGATTTTTTAATCTATTTTTTTTTCTCCATATGCTGTATACGTGTTACAATAGTATGACCAAATAAAAACAAAACTAGCAAATGTGAAAGAAGATGAATATTTTCAGTGCGATGCCTTTTCTCTCTCGTCTAGTTACAGTTTGGTTGGTTGTCTTGCAATTTGTATGAAGTAAATTTACGTTGAATTTCATTGTTTTTTTTTTCATTGTGCTGTCCATGGTGTGTACAATTGATGAACATTTCGATTAGGTAATAATTTTAACTGCTTTTGCGCACTTGAAAATCACATACAAATCCCCATTCTTCCCTGCAAATGTGCAACTCTTATAGCTGAATTTTAGCTCGAAATGGTGCATCATTTCTTAGAAGCATCATTCAATCACAATTGTGATTTTCTCCAGAAAAAGCCCCAAATTTAAACGAAACCACTCAATGAGTAAGAGAAACTCTGTTTTTAGTGAGTCACAATTCAACCGTATGTACGAAGTAATCGAACTCCATAATGAGGATCTACAAAAAAGACAAACACCACAGTAATTAGCAACAGCGGCAAAGAAATCACAAACCAGTTAAAGTTGAATACACATTGTACGTAAAGCATAAAATGAATGAGAAGAATTTATATACAAAGAAACTGAAACTAGTGAATCCGATGATTATTAATCATCGCTAAAAAAAAACCCACAACAAATGAGTCCTTGTTATTATTACTATTATTATTATTATTTTTTATTTGTATTATTATTATTGTTACGCCATGCGCAGCTTTCTACCGAAACAATTTCAATCAATGGCTGCTCTTTTGACTGCACTGACCCGGCAAATCGACAACCATTTGGGGCTCATTCCCTTTTCATGTGCATCATTCTTTCTATCCCGCTGAATATACTTCGGAAGCTGGTTCGACAGAACAAAAAAAAAGAAAAAAAAACTTTGATGCAACAATTTGAAATGAAATCTCTGCAAACTGATTCATTCGAACAGAGAAGGTCTTTTTGTCTATGTGCCTTTAGAAGCAATCAATTCTTTTACTTTCAACATCAAAACTGTGGAAAATTGATAGACTCGATACTGTTGAAAAGAGAACAAAATCGATACTAAAACAAGAATTGGCAATACCCATTCGTCGAATGGGATTGGCTTTGGGAAAAGTTAAATATTTGGTTGGCTTTTTTTTGAATCATTTTATTTTTTTCATGTTACGATGAGACAGAGTTTGTAGAAAATCCACATTTCCTTCCAGAGAAGAATAGTTCTTTGTGAAATTTTAATTAAAAAAAAAAAAAAACGTTCGAATTGAAAATGGAATTCAATACCGAACATCCACAACATTGCAAATGCAAACGCAAATAAACGATTCCCCTTGCATATCGCGTTGCCGGAACTGCAAGCGACAGAAGCATCGGTCGAGTTGAACCAAAAATTAACTCTGGATGTGACCTTCGAACACAATACAGCAACATGAAACGCCCGACTTTGTCATTATACAAATCGTTCAAAAACGGAAAACGTTTTTCGTTGTAAAAGCTCGGGATTTGTAGTCATTTTTCATGGTGTTCAAAGGAGAAAAAAAAAGTCATCGGTGTTCGACATTGATTGGTTGTAAGCTGTATCACTGATGTTGGACGAAGCGCAAAAGAAAGTATTCGACAAACGATTTTCGTTTGTTTTGTGATACGATTTGAGTGGGTCAAATCTCCGACAAACACACACACACACATACACAACTTAAAAATTAAAAACGCAATCGCATAGCTACTTCACGGATGAATACCAATTGTCATCATGTGAGGCAAAATTGGCCATTTTTTTCTTTTTTAAATATTTTGAATTTTACATTTATTTTGTTTCTACCCTTTGAATAAACACCCAGTTTTGTAGAAAGCTTTTTTGCACAGTAGCTTCCGAAATCAGTTTATAAGATGAGTAAATGATTGAAAGATATAAACAAATTGAACAGATACATACACACACATACACCAATTACAAAAAGAATCTTCGATTTAAAATAATTTAATAGATAACAACAACAAAAACAACAACAAACGAAGATAAAAGCAAACAATTGCAAAGAGAAGAATTTAAATTGAAAACAAGAAAAAAAAAAATAAACACATACAAATAAATCTTCAAGTAATAAGATAATTACCAAGAAGAGAGAAAAACAGAAGCTATTTATTGTAAATACATAGTAAATATATTGTATTTTATTTTATTTTATTTTAATTTTGCGTTGTTTTATTTTCAATATCATCCTGTATTTCTGTATAATCACTGCTTTCATTCTCCCAACCCACCCCTTTGGAACTGTCTCTTCACTCATGCTACTATCATATATCTTTCTCTTGCGCTGTCTCTATCCTCCTATTTCTTTTTCTCTTTCTGTTTCTCTTCCTCCCTCAATCTCACTCGGTCTCTGTCCCTCTTCCTCTTTCACTGTCATTAAAGAAAGCTCTTCATCTGCCTTTGTCGACGCTGCCATCAAAGTACGCGTTCATTGTATTTTTTCCCACATTAAGCAAAAGTCAACAGCAATACAGCAACCGAAACATATAGCAACAAATTTGAAAAATTCCCTGTCGTTTGTTCTTTCACTGTTCTTTTTCAGTTGTCATTTGGCAAATGCCCTTTAAAAGAACAACAATAACAACAGCAGCAACAAATCGCTTTTTTTCTTCCTCCCCTCTCTCTCTCTCTCTCTCTCTCTCTCTCTCTCTTTCCGTTGTTCACGTTCCTCTAGTCGGATTGAAAATAAAATCGATTGTTTGCCAGCTATAAACATGTAGTTGAAAATCATGTTGATACACGCACAAAAGCATCCACTCGAAATCATTTTCTAACAATGTGACTCTTTTTTTTTCCTCTCCCATTCAAACATTGATAATAATTTACTATAATTTACAACGTATGCACAAAATCCTTGCAAATGTAATTTGTCCTCTCTGTTTTTCTTCTGTCGTTCGGCGAAGAGAGATGAATTGAATCCAAAACTTTGATTTCACAAAGAACATAACACATGAACAAGCAAAAAAATGGGCAGAAAAACCAATCGAATCAAAAGCAATTTTTATTATGCATAATGACCAATAATTAATTTTTATTCGATGTTCTCCAGCAAAATGGAATTTTATAGCGAAACAAGAAAAAAAAAGAAACTAATTTGAAGAAGTAAATGGCTTTTGTCGCACACGAAGTGAAATTGTTTTGGAAATTCGAATTATAGCCGCATCCATAGCACTGGGACATTTAGTGAAGCTACGGCACGAAGAAGGAAATCAGAACTTTTCTTTTCGAAAAGTTCGAGTAAAAAAACAACTGTTTTCGTTCATTCTTCAGTTCCGTTGCTCATGCTGTCGACATACAAATTCACCATAATACCCCGAAAGAGACACACACGCACACACACACACTCAAACGAACACATACAAAAGCGATTATATTTGATGCCTAGGCAATAGCGCCTGAGGTATAGGGGACAAAAAGCCACACGATCCAGATTCGTTGAACCAGAGAAATACATGAAATTTATATTCATTCACTCATGTTGAAAGAAAAAAAAGAGGAGAAGAAATATGAAACACTCGGACATTCGGTGCGATCTCCTTATTTCCATAAGTTTTCATACTTTGCTCTTAATTTCATAACTTAAAAACAAAGATATTTAAACAAGAAGAAGAAGATTGAAGAAAAATAAAACCAAACAACAACAACAACAACAACAACATACATTTAATGTAAAATTTAGAAATTAGAAATAGTTTTTCATGTGTAAAAAAAAACCCAAAACAAGACAAAGAAATAAGATGTATGAAAATCGAGTAAACCAAAGATATTCTGAATGAAAAAAAAGCCATTTCAAACAGAAGAACATTCAAAACATTTAAGAGAATCTACCGCACACAATCATGTGGCCAGAGAATTGTTTGCATTCTGCTCACATTTAGCAGATTCTTTTTGCCTCTCTTTCTCACACACAAAAACATTTACACAACACATGCAACAACCAACACAACAAAACAGAATGTATAATCAACTTTCGCAACAACAACAAAACCTAAAACCAAAGCTTAAGGGAAAAACTGGAAAAAGAAGAAAAAGAAGAAGAAGCATCAACAACAAAAATTACATCTAAATTGCAAAGCAAAATCAAATCAAATAAGAATAAAGATTGTAAAAACAACAACCAACAACTGAACATGAATTAAAGTTAAAAATTAGTTCATTGTGTTCGTGTTTCAATCAAACGTAATTGCATTCGTTTGTCATTAGCGGTGGTGAGTATTTTCTTCTTCAAACACAGACATACACACACACACTCTCTCTCTCTCTCTCTCTCTCTCTCTCTCTCTCACTCTCTCCTTCTCGGAGAGCCATAGAAAATGCAAAGAGCAGCAGCAACAACAGCAGCAGAAGCAAATATGCGAAAAGGCCAAAAAGCTTGCGCGCAATAATCGCGCCAAGCAATGCCATCAACAGCAGCACAACTTCTAAATTTTAATCTCTTTTGCTAGCAAGAGTGACAGAGTTTTGATGAGGAGGCATCGTCGTCGTCGTAGAAATGGCAGTCGTTGTATGCCATGAAAAAATCCGATGCCGCCTTCACTTGTCACGAACAATGGCAAAGTAAGTCGAAAATGTGTCAATATTACTATTTGGCAAATGGCATTTTGGCACAGAGATTACGTGAGCATTCCATTTGTGCTAGCGTAAGACACGGCGCATCATTTAAAAACATGGAGTATACGGCTGTGGCTGTTGCTATTGTTGCTCGGAAAGCGAGACATACACACATACACATACAGCAAATTCAGCCAGCATTTGGGATGATGAACTCTGTTAAATAGAGTGTTAAAATAAAAAATTAAAATCGCCTCGTATTCGCGTATGATTTTAATGAAATTCAGCACGTTTTTCGAAACGATAAAATGATTCGCACAATTTTCTATCTCTCTCTCTCTCTCTCTCTCTCTTTCTCGCTATTTATTTCTTTCTTCCTATCTCTGTCTTTTAGCCTCGGAGCATCTTTGACGGTTGTCAACGGGAAAAGACAAAGAAAAACACTTACGAACGAAAAAAAAAACTTCTTAATCGGAATATTATGAAATTCATTGAATTATTTGTGAATGGTGGGAAAGAGCCACCGCGGCCTCCCTCGGCAAAAATTTATTTTTAACCAGTTACAAAGAGTGCGTATTTCAACTGTTTGAAATATCAATGCAAAAGGGAAGATAGAACTCTCTAATTTATTAATGACAGCCTTTTGCACTGTTCTCCAAAAATGATTCCAAGCGCTACTTCGCATTTGAGATTATTTTTTTCTCTCTCTCTTTCTCAGTGCGTCTCATTGCTGAGAGATTTGTCACCCAGAATTATTGATGGTGATTGAAAGAGTCTCGGTTTACTATTAAGCAAGATACCATATTTAATTATGCCAATCATGATTATCAAAAATGGTTCATAATCAGCGCGGGAAAATATGTTCGGTGCGATGCGTTCGGTTCGAGAACAACAGGAGATGACAACCAATTTCTGTTCAGTTTCTTTCGTATATAGTATAAAATACGTCACACATCTTCCGATTAGGAGCTGTATTTCGAAGAGTGGTCGAGTGTAAAGCTGTTGAAACGATGGAAAAGAAACATCATGTGGTAGTTCAAAGGAATCAATGCATGAAATATTGTGCAGCAGCTCAATGATCTGTTTCAAACGATTCATTCGATCGATCGTCCAAAAATTGAGTCATCAAACAGCAGCAAAAGTGATTAACACCACACAGCAAATGGGCTAAAACCGAAACCAGAATAAAAAAAAGTATACCGTCCAAATCATGTGTGACCATTTAGATGTAATGATGAGAACGGATGTAATAAATATACCTAGAATAGGGTCATCAAGCTTATCGGTGAATGTTCGGTTAGAGCATTTAACACACATTTACGAATGAAGAGCGGGGCAGCAACGGCGACGACGGCCACATGAAGAATCGACCATACTAGATCGAAATATGCATATCATTCGATCGAGCATGTTTATGGATCATACACAATTTGCCCTTATTCTTGCCAAGTGTGATTCTCTGTCTCGCTCAACAGTCGCCGTGTTGATTTTGGTCTTGTTGGTGATAAATACACACAACGCCTGGAACTAAATGGATACTCGATTCCCGTTTGGCGACAGGGACAGCGAGACATAATGGCATTACACATGTCACAAACTCGTCCATACATAGTTTTAAATGGTCACTTACTTAATAGGGTCCAGTGAGTATGTGAGTGAGCATCTGTCTCTCTCTTTCGGTGTTCAGCGACCGTCACAATTCAATGACTATAAATTATGATTATAAATGCGAAACGATTTATGTGCCCAAAGCTGTCAGAAATATGAGCAGTAACAATTCTCGTTTTTTTTTTCTCACTTATCCGAATGAAACAACCAAGTCGACAGCTTGAAACAATAGATTGAAACCCATATTTTTGAAACATGAAAGAGTCATCGAAAAAAATGTGTTCCTCTATTTTAACGCTGAAAATGGGCAAAAATGTGCGGCAAAGGCAAAAATGCTTTTTTTTTTATTGTTTCATCCAGATGCTCTGGATGCTCGATGCCATTCTTAATGAATTGCTCCTGTGATTTTGCTTCGTTCCGCACTAATCGTACCCTTTAATTTGGTTTGCCATTCATCACACGAGTGACTCTTGTGTGTCGAGCATAAAATCTTATCCAGACAAATCAAACTAAGCCCATGATTAAAAGTGATTTTGGCCAAAACTAGTAATTATTAAGTAATGAACTCTTATCACGCACATTTGCCATGAAATAAATCGAATGTAATTTGTCGTTGGAATCGTATCGTCTCGCCTAAATTTCCATCTCGTGAAATTCACTAAAATGAAATGCCACCGTGGCCGTTGTGTGTGCGCATCTATTTTATTTTCTCTTACTCATTATCAATCGACGATTAACATTGAGTCTACGGTTAAAAAGGCAAAGGCATCAATTTCTGCCGCATACACCGAAAAAAAAAAGGTGTCGTTTTGCCATGAAACGAGATGTACGGGACACGAACAGAACAAAAAAAGAATACGAGCAATACACAGCACACGGCGGTGAGTATAGCAATGACAAAAAATGTAGTAACTGTCATGGGTTTCTATTGAAATAAATATTATGTGAGCTGTAATGGTATTATATGAGCTCTCAGTCCAAGCAATATGGTTAAAGCCACCGAAACAAGCACACAACAACCGATTCGCGGCTCATTGTTTTGGGTCGCGCGCTTTGAAGCACATTTTTACAACAGCGCGCCAAAAGTGCGCGCGCGCACACACTCACCGTGTTTGCCTTTCATGTTTCATTGACTGAGCCTCTGCCGTCACGTTTGCTCTCTTTTTTTATTTGGTTTTGTGTTTAAGCTGGGTTCTGTTTTTTCCCTGTCTCTCTCACTCACTCTCTGGTTGTTGTCAAACATCCATATTTTCTGTCTTTGGACATCCGGTTGCCGTTCCAAATTTGAGTCTTGACTAGACATACAGGGACGGGTGAATATTTCGAATTGTTTCACTGATTTGTTAATTGAAAGTTATTGTTTCGACGCTTCTTCATTCTCCAACAATTTTCGATGGCATCCCATTCAAATCGCAATTGATTTTCGATTGTCACAAAATGCAATGGGGAAAAATCCAACAACAACAGCAACAGAAACGCTCTTTCCATGAAAAAAAAGGTGAATACTTGAATTGAGCTGATCAAGGTTCCCGTCAAGTGTATGGGGGTAAGAGTACATGAAGGAATACCTTGACTTTGATTGAGTGAAATTCATGAAATACATGGATTCATTTTTTGTCGGTTGTTGCTCTCTGCTCATTCGGTGGGTTCACACACACACATCATTCCATTCATTCATGGCGAGCACAATTTTCGACGAGAGGCACTCTCGAACCAATAAACGGCAACAGAAAAAAAAAATAGTAATGCTCCCGATTTCAATGGGAATGAATACTACGTTAGCGTATATGAAAGTAACCGAAAATAATTTGAAAAATGCGCGACAATAGAAGGAGTGAATGTGAACGTGTATGCGTATGAGTACGAGTATGGTATGGCCGGTTTTTAAGCGCATTTAAGGCATTCGTTGAAAATTAGTTTCTATTTGCAGCTGGTAAAATTAAGCATGCTCGCGTTTTCCATTGGGTATCTCCATAAAACAATAAGGGCGATTAATAATAACCGTCGTAAACGAGCGAGTAAACGGGCGAATGCTTACCCGCCCATTCACTTCGCTCACTCGCTTGTCTGACATTCGCAATCAGCTTTCAGAAAAATATATATCTATAAAATAGCAAGAGAACGAACGAATGCGAAGAAAGGACGAGAAAGGGAATGGAACGCAACCGAAGCTATACAACCCATACAAAACGGGTATGTATACGTTAAGTTCGGATTCTATCTCGTCCTGAAAATGGCGCAACGATTTTCGAAGCAACGACCGAACCTTTGCTCTGACTTCTCTGTGTATCTAGGCGATGATGGTCACCCTCTTGTGCCATACACAAAAACGCTTCGAACTCTCTGCCGCAAGAGAGAAAGAGATAGCGAGCTTCGGCTTCAGAGGAAAACAAATTTTTACATTGGAATTTTCTTAATGATTACAAAATTTTTGTGTCAAATTCAGCATGCTATTCCTTTTCCGACCGTCGCTACCAAACAGAAGTTGTTAAAATAATTGCCGTTTTTGAAATTGCACCGCACATAAATACGCAAATAGATAGTAACAAATGCGAGCGAGAGAGAGAGTGCGCGCACGCGATGAAAAACGGCCAGAGATACCATCATCCTTGTTGAATAGCGGTACACACAGAGAAAGTGGTGAATGGGCTAGTGAGGGATAGAGAGATCGTGAACAAAATAGAATGAACAAGAAAAAAAAAATATACACACTAAGAAATCCAGAATGGATTCTCTGTGCAAAAATTATGATGGCAACGCAGAGAGATGCGAGAGGCCATGGTGAAGCGAAAACAAAAGCAATTAAAACGATTCTTTGGTCGTTTTCGTTTCAACGTTGTTGTCACATCACGGTTGTAGCTTGGGTTTGTAGAACAGATACCGGGCACAAAGGCGTCCCCATCATGAAGAGAAAATATAAA